TAATTTCTAAACATCCCCTTTCTTTAAAATGAGAAATGAAAAGAGCCAGTCAGAACGTGCATTGAATCCACGTTCAGCAATGTTCTATGCGGCTGCCGCAGGAAGTCACTAACTTTGATTTTTACAGTTGGGTATTGAGTAGGAATAAAGGAAAATGAAAGGAATGACTTCCTGCCTGGGTAATGCTGCCACGTCTGTAACAAGTGATGGTGGAGGAGAAGCCAGTTCTTCTGTCTTCATCCCCATTCCCCACCATCGTGCCAGCACTCTTCACATTCGGAGCCCTCACTGCCCGGTCCCATTTGTCCACCTCACTGTGAGCAGATTTGCAAGGGGGTTTTAGTCACATGGCAGCAAGACAGGTCCAAGGGTCCAATGCGCCTTTCACAGGGTAGGTTTTAGGGTACTGGTGGCTGTAGATTCCGGAATGCCATAAGCTAAGGTAAGGACTTGGAGGGTAAAGTAGTGAGCTGCTGGGTGTGAAGTCTGTCCCCAGGGTCTTTCATGGGACTTAGGCTCACAGAAGCAGCGAAGGTTACCGTTTGATACCTGCGTAAGCACAGCTGAGGCTTGGATGGCTTCAAGCACTTTGACATAGTTAAAAAAAAAAAAAAAAAAACAGCCTCAGTGTTTGAAAGCTGACGGGTATTCAAGTTTTCCTTTGGTCTCCCTGAGGGCTGTTCAAGTCTTCTCCTTACTGTTAATTTTGAAGTCAGCACAGAAAGTGATAGTCTCATTCTCGCATGGCCCTAACGCATGTCATTTTACCTTGCCCTTCCCCTTCACCCCCTTCCCCACTGCCCTCCCCCATTGCCCTCTGTCCCCACTTGCCTGTTGTCCTCCCACCTCCAAACTGCCCTTCTGCTTTCCTGTGCATGTGCGTGAAGACCAGAGGTAGCCACGAGGCGCCTCTCCCACGTGCTCCCCACTTTGTGGACTAAACAAGCCCTGGGGATCATCTGGCTTCTACTCCCCAGTCGCAGTGCTGGGATGACAGCACCTCACCAGCATAGCGAGCTGTTTTTAAGAGGTGGAGTCTTACATAGTTCTGGCCTCACACTTGCTGTGTAGTAGATGATCACCTTGAAGTGCTGATCCCCTGGGTTCCATCCCCCAAGTGCTGAGCTCACCACTCTGCGCTACCACCTGATTTCACATGGTGCAGGCGCTGGAACCCAGGGCTTTGTGCATGCTGGACAGGTACAGCTGAGCCCTAGCCCCGAGATCATTCTTTATTGCCAGGCCTGTTTAGCATCATCCCAGGCCTGTGTCCAAGTCCATGACAAGACGCTGCCACTTCCTAGACCTGGGCCGCAGCCTAGAGGTCCCTGTGGGGAAAGGCGTTGCTTCCCCAGTTGAAAGCCAGTGCTCCACATAAACTGAGATTTGTGGGTGAAGTCAATTCACCAGAAATACTGAGTCAGATTTGATAAAAGCGTGTGTTTGGGCAGAATATCTTATTAAGTACTCTGAGAATTTCCACCTTTTCCTCCTCCCGTAGAAAATCCTATTTGCCTGCAATCAAATGGGAGCTAAGAAGACTACAAATCACAAAAGCTACTTACCTCTTAACTGTCTGAAGCTAATTTTCCTGCCAAGTTTGCTTTGGTATACAAATCAGCAGTTCGTGTGTGCACACGTGTGTGTGTGTGTGCGTGTGTGTGTGTGTGTTTGTGTGTGTGTGTGTGTGTGTAGTGAGAAATGGGAGGGAGGGAGACAGAGAAAGAGAGAGAGAGAGAGCTATGACAAGAACAAATGCATTGATTTGGAGGAGTGACAGGTATTTTCCAGTTCACTGCACTTTCTATATCATTTGGGAGATTCTTACTGTTAGCATCTATAGGAAAGGAATTGGATAGCCTCTTTTTTTCCTGCCCAAATACCACAAAACAGCTCTAGGCATTAAGTTGTGACCTTCACATTATGCTTTGATAGGGCAAAGGCAGAGTAATCCTGGTTGAAAGGGAGTGATTTTTCAGGGCACAAATATTTTTTTTAGAATAACGAAATAAACCTTTGGTCCATTAAAGACCTAAAGGTTTTAAGGACCTGTAATCACTTCAGTATATTACAATTTCATGATACTTGCACCATCCACAATTGCTAGGGTTATTATTATAGAGCAACGCTGCGTTTCCCAGATAACTTCATTAAATAGTCATCTGTGCTAGCAAAACTTACCTAAGCTCTGTGGTTGCTTTTTTTTAAGGGGTAGCCAGTTTTCAGTAAGGTTGCATGCAATTACCCTTAAACAAACTTTCCCTGAAAAAATAAAGCCGGGGAGATGGCTCAACGTGGAAAACACTTGCTTCGCAAGCTGGAGGATGTGAGCTCGGAGCCTCAGAGCCCAGGCAGCGCTGCGTAGCAGCATGCGCCTGCCACCCTGGCTCTCGTACAGTCACATGGCCGGCGAAGGCAGGATGCAGCCTGCCGCAGGAATGGTGAACAAGAGAAGCTGTTTCAGACAAGGTGGACGGTAATTACTGACACCCGAGATTGTCCTCTGACCGCTACACAAACTCACACCCACATGCACACAAATTCTGAAACAGAATCAAAACAAAGGTCTGGTGTCCAGCCTGGGCTACATCCTTGCTTCCTGTAGTTACTGACCAGAGTTTGGTGCCCATAAGCCTAGGAAAAAGCTGGATGTGGTGGTGGTGGCTCCATCGGGAATTCCAGTGCTAGGGAGGCGGGCAGAAGAGGTCCTTGAGGCTTACTGCCAGCCAACCTCCCAAATGTCGGAGTTCCAGCCCAGTGACAGCCCCGTCTCAGAAAACAAAGATGGTGTCCTGAGGAGCACCACCCAAGGTTGGAAGGGAAGGAGCTTATGCCTCAGGGGGTGTGTTAAAGACTCTTCAAACAGCAACTCAGGCGGTCCTCACTCCTGCTCCCTCCAGTGGGCGTGGTTGACGTCACCCTTTTCTCTCCTGTCACAGTATCCTGCCATGTCTCACACTGAGGCTTCCAGTCTGGTGAGTTCCCTGGTAGAGGCCTGTCTGTGTGGCTTTGACAGGCTCAGCTCGTGTGAGAGCGGAGGGCAGTGGTGCAGGTCTGGAATCCAACACTTTCCGGGAGAGGGGACTATGGCAGGAGGTTCATATATTTGACACAAGCCTGGGCTACATACAGATACCATTTCTCAAAAAAAAAAAAAAAAAAAAAAAAAAAGAGAGAGAGAGAGAAAACAATCTTGTATGTGGCTTGGAGAATAAGGGAAAGTTTGGGGAAATCTTTATTCCCACCACAGATGAAAGAGACATGCCAGCAGACATGTGTTTTGGGAATCAGCTCTATGAAGGTCAGAGGCCTCAGATCTTTTCCCACGGGCTGGAGAGATGGCTCAGCAGTCAAGAGCATGACTGCTCTTTCCGAGGACCCAGGTTCAATTCCCAGCACCCACACGGCGGCTGTAACTCCAGTTCCAGGGGATCCAGTGCCCTCTTCTGACCTCTGCGGGCACTGCCCAACATCGGTGTATTTGCACACGTGCGGGCAACACACTCGTACACATAAAATAAAACATTTTCTTTTAAGATCTTTTCTGAGACTGGGCAGATGCTGTCAGTAAGGGCTGAGCTGCATAAGCACCAGGAACAAAGTTTGATTACCATGACCCTCAGGGAAAGCAGGGAATGGCAGCTCCTTTGTAATCCTGTGCCAGAAACAACAGCATCCCTGCAGCTTGCTGGTCAGCCAACCTAGCATAATGTGCAAGTTACCAGCCAGGGACAGACCCTGTCTCAAAAGTAATGGTGGACAGAGTCCTGAGGAACAGCACCCACGGTTGACCACACCACACACACACACACACACACACACACACACACACACACCACAATCTTTCCATTTGTTTTGGGTGTTAGGAGTCAGGAGGCAAGTCAAGTTTGGGGAAGACCCACCCCATGAGAAATCCCATGCTACATCTTTATTCACAGCGGTCCAACATAACCAAGGTAGGGATGAGTTCCTACTGTGTCAGGGTGCAGTTCAGAAAGGGTTTTCCTAGATCTATCAGGCTGCCTAGGTATGTCATCGAGTATCAGTTCAGAATAAATAAGCATTTGAGGGCTGACCTAAAAGAAATCATACCTATGATATTATTTCTTTGAGGAAAATGCCTTTTGAGATTGAGATGATTCTAAGCATGTGATTTGTAAATCAGAGTTTGGGCCACAATCCATTTCTGAATAGTGTGATCTAAGAAGAAACTTCATGAAATCTCTGACAGTAAACAGCCCCAGCGTCTTATGCTTATCAGCTGAAAGATTATAGCTTCAGTTCTCACAGTCTAAGGCAGCGTGGTTTCAAATATAAAGCCCGTTAGAGACGTGGAAGCTGTGCTGTAAAATGGGACATTTACATTTCAGAATAGCCACCGGGGCTCAGCGTCTTCTGTCGGAATAGAAACATCCTAAGTGACAATCCTTGTCGACATTTGAACTGGAAGGTGAAGTGCAACGGTCCCAGTCCTGTCCACGGTCCAGTTATGCCTCCTGACAATGTTGGGGAGAGCGCAGAAGGCGTTGCTGCCTCTCCAGCATCCTCCTGTCGGCACCCCTCAGCTCTGGGCCAGTGTCACTTGTAACAACCAGAGGGGTGTGTTCCTCTGGGAAATGAGCGTGCGACTTTAAGATGACTCTTTTCGTGCTGTACATGATAGAACATTATGAATAATTTATTTGTCACAGCAACCTGTGTACACCCAGGAATTTAGACCTGAAATTTAATTGGTTGTCTACAATTACAGTGCTCATTTTCAGTTATCTGAAGTTGATTGATTCTGCGAGCATAGACTTCTCTGTGCATAGCCTTTTTAGGGTCTTTTCAGATATTAGAAAAGTTCTCTCTTAATGATTCAAGTATGGACAATTGTGTAGCTGAAATATATGTAATTCAGTCCTTGAGGGAGGAGCTGTTGATACAAAATGACATGAGAGATTTGTTATGTGCATGTCAAGGCCGGTGGTGACGAGTTCTTCCTGTGTTTTCGTCCCCAGGTTCTCTTGGCCAGCAGCTTCATCCCCGGGTACGCAGGCCTGAAGCCGGTGGAGTACAAAGGACAGGTAATGTGATGTGCTACAGCTGAGGAATAATCCGTTTCCTTGGAAGAAGCAGTTCCATCTGTGATGGGCCACATCAGTTTACAGATAGCATATATATAAATAGACTTCTTTCTGTTTCAAATTAAAAAATAAGAACACGGACTCTGGTATCTTATCAAAATCTTGTCAATGGAAATAATTGACTGGGTTGGTGTTTTCACCACTAATAATGGTAATTATGTTAACGTTTCATTTTATTTTATCGTCATTGTTGGTACTATGTGTTGTACATACGTATGCATGTGTGTGCCAGTGCATTCACCTGTGCAAGCATGTTTGGATTGCATAGGTTGCTATTGGGACGTCCTCCTCATGTGCTCTCTGCCTTTACTTTGGGGACAGGCTCTGTCACTGAACTTGGAGTTCACCATTCCAGCCACAGCGGATGGCCAGTGCTTCCTGGGGAATCAAGCTATCTCTAGTGCCTCCTGCCAGGGTAACACACGTGACTTTTTCCCTTGAGTCCTGAGGATTTGAACCCAGGTCCTCGTGCTTACACACTTTACATACTGAGTCGTCTCTCCAGCTTCCTTGTTTTATTTGAAACATTTTTAGTGCATTATATTTTTATTCATTTATTTTTATGTACACAATTAGTTTGCCTGCATGTATGTGAGTGCACCACATACATGAAATGCCTGCAGAGTCCAGAAGAGGGTATTGGATCCCCTGGAACTGGAGTCACAGATGAGTGTAAGCTGCCAGGTTGATGCTGGGACTCAAACCTGGGTCTTCTGCAAGAACAGCCAGTGCTCTTGACTGCTGAGCCAGGTCTCCAGCCCCTTGAAACATTTTTCAGGGGTTTGTTTAGTTTTATTTTGTGCAGATAAGTGCTTTGCCTGCATCTGTGTAAATGAACCCTTGTACAGTGCCCACAGAGGGCAGAAGAGGGCATTGGAGCCCCTGAAACTGGAGTTATGCGTGGTTGTCAGCAACCTTGTGGGTGCTGGGATTTGAACCTGGGTCTTCTGCAAGAATAGACAGTGCTCTTAGCTGCTGAGCCATTTCTCCTGCCCCCAAACACTTATTGTTTAAAAGCAGTGAAAGATTTTTTTCATAACTCATTCTTCACAACTACTACTATAAATGTCAGTGAGAGAATTCTGCCTTCCTGATGGAAAGGCTTCAGGGCTGTGTACAGCTGTCCCTCCCTCACACACAGTGCTGGACTGCTTCTTTCCATCAATGCTGCAGCCCCTCTGCTGGTAACAATGCCTTCTCTCTGTGGCTCTTTACCTAGATACGTGTATTCCTGAGCCCAGGCGCATCTTACCTGAGCAGCGTTCAGTTCTTTGGGGCTGTCACTCTGACAGGGTGTCAGTTCTCTTAGGGACATTCTGCATGGAGGTGTCTCTACAGCCAGGGCACGTGCTGCCTAGCGATTCTAACCAGCTCCCTCTGCAGCCACACTGCTGTCTGGGATTGCTCCTCATCCTGCCCCACTTTCTCCCTGTCCCCAGGTCACAGGCTCAGCCTGTGTGTTTATAATCGAGTGTCACCTCTACTTGTCACACCCACAGTACATACTTCATAATCATAGTATCCCTAGTGAATAGCAAAAATGCCCATCTCAACATAAACCAGAGACGTATATATTCCATAATCAAATGAAGAATCTCAAATATAGGAGATATGTGCATTTAATTACATTGTCTGCTATCACATATAGGAGATGTGCATTTAACTACCAAGGGTGTTATCTGCTTAGCACATTCCAGAGTTCAGTATTGTGTCGACACATTATCTGTTTAGCATATGCCAGAGATAGGTTTGATCATCAAATACAGTATTTGTTTAACACGTACCAGAAAATATATTTCAGAATTCAATATTTCTACGTATGTATTTAATACATGGCAGAGATTTATTTATTTTATAATATAGTATTTAAGATATTTATGATAAAATATACTATTTAGCACATAGTATTGATACACGCTATGTAGTCAAATACGCTGTTTAACATATGGCTTAGATTTATGTTTGAATCAGAGTATTCAACACATCCCAGAGATAGACATTTAATCATAAAATATCTATTTAATGAACAGCAGAAATGTGCATCTTCTGTTAATCAAATACAGTATCTACTTAACACACTTATGATCAAATACAGTATCTAGTTAACACAGACTAAAGGTAAGGGTTAGATAGTCATCCACATTGTCTATTTAGCATATGTCAGAAATACATATTTTATCATGAAATGGAGATATTTATTTAGCACATCGCAGAAGTAGGCATTTTATAATCCAATATCTAACACACGGGAAAGATGGCGTCTATTTAACATGCACCACAAATGCATATCTTACAGCCAAACTCAATATGTATGTATCACACACTCGTAATCAAACACGCTATACCCCTTTAGTTTATAGCATGGATATGCATTTTATAATCAAACAAGTATAGACTTAACATAGTGTCATAATAAAAAAGAAATCCAATTAACACATAGCAGAGATCTGCATCTTACAAATACAATATGTTATATGGTATAAAATATATACGAGACAAATATCGTATGGTTAAATATATTTTCTATTTACCATGTGTCTCGGAGTTTGCTTTATGCATGTCTTCTTAGTCCATAGCCCAGATAAGAATTTTGTTATCCTATCTGTTTGCTGCATAGAAGATATATAGGTTTGAAATTGCATAGAGCATCTATTTACCACAATTATAATCAAATATGCTACCAATTTGGCATGTAGGCAATTAGCATTTACTAGAGATGTGTATTTTATAAGCATGTTATCTATTCGGCACATACCAGAAATAGGGGTTTTATAATCAAACACAATATCTATTTCTATACCATAGAAAGACACTTTATAATTTTATAATGTCTTTCACATAGGAGAGAAACTTATTTTATAATCAAACACAGTATTTACGACACAGCAGAGATTGCCTGCACATTTATAAATGAATAAAGTCTGTCTGTGTCCTGTTTACATGGTACGTGTTCATGTATTCATGAGGAGTACATGCAAAGTGCTTACGTGCCACTCCTTGACTCATCCCGGCATTTCCTCACTTGGAGGACCCAGGGCGGTGCTCGCTCTTCATCTGCTGTGGTTACAGAGAAGGAACTGGTGCCTGTAAAGCCTTTGGTCAGTAGGACTGAAGAAGCATCTGTGCTCCGACCTTGTCAGGCTTCAAGACTTTCTTTTGTGTGCTTTCCCTGGTGGTGTGAATTGCGCCTGGTCCTTCTACATGATCCTTGGCCCAAACCAGTCTTCCCCAGGGCAGGGGATAGAAAGAAGGCAGAGGACAGATACCTTAAGTAGCTGAAGGCCACACGCACACGGTGAATGAGGGAGGGCTGAAAGTGATTTCAGGCTGTTTCCTGGCCAAATGCAAGCAGTATTATGTTAGTGACAGTCATTTTACTTGCATGTAACTTGTGTGAAACCTTCTTTATGATCGAGGAGAAATGATATATCCATTCGTTTCTTTTTAAGGACTCGAAATACTGGAAATATCTTACAGGACCTAAAACTTCCATCACGTTTCCTACTTCTGCTCCCATTTTCAGTACGCACGCATGCGTATCCTTCTCCAGGGACGTGTGTCCTAGTTCACCATTTAAACATTTAGCTGTGCTATACCACACTTTCACCACATCGGGGTCGTTAGCCCTCGCGTCACTTGAGTAAAAGGGAGCATTCACTTCGGCATGCACATTTTTTGGTTTGTTTTTAAATTTTTCATTGAATTCTTGTGCATTTCATATAATTCTTCTGGATCATATTTAGGTGCCCCTCCCCTGTCTGCACTCCTCCTTAGCCCCCTCCTCCACCAGATGTCATACATTCTGTCATATGTATTAAGGCCTGTTAAGTCAAGTGTGTGTCCCCAGATGTCCCTCGATGTGCCCAGGAGCCTGGGCAACCTATCTAGCATCACTGCCTTAAAGAAGACCAACTCTCCCTCACCCAGCAGTGATCAGATGCCAATTTTGAACCGTGTGAATGTTGCTATTGAATCTACTTTATATTATTTCTATTTCTGTAATGACCTGAAATCTAAAATGATTTTTAGTTAAAGATATTTCTTTGTTATATACTCTAGTCATGACCAAGTGGCATAATGGTTTGAAACAACAACAACAAAAAAAGAGTTCCTAAGGCGTCATGAGACTCTATGTTGCTGTAAAAGAATCCATTGCCCTGTTTTCTGTTGCTATGACAAATTACTATGGCTGGTTTTGTAGTAAATAAACAGGTTTTATATAGCTTGTATTGTTGGAGAGAAAGAGATTAAGATAGGGAGGTCCTAACTGTTTAGCCTGTAGGGAGGGCCCCCTCCGTGTGCCTGAACATGGTAGATGGCCTTGTGGAACCATGGGTGAAAGGGAGAGGTGTCATGGTGTGACTCAAGCTAGAGAACCTGCAGGGCTCACCCTTACTGTTCTAAGACTTTTCAAGGAACTGAGGTCCCATGGGAACTACCTTAACCCCTTCCAACTGCAGTGCCCCAGTTATTTAACATCCTCACGCTACAGGCCACCTCGTAAAGGTGCCACCTGCTCCCATGCACCCGGGGGATCCAGGTGCCAACGCATGAACCACAAGTGTGTCTGAAGCATAACAGGATCAGAGACCGGCAGTCACCAAAGCGAGGTATCAGCTGCGAACTAAGAGGAAGGGATCCAGGAATTAAGGGAGAGGCTGTGATGTGGGTGCAGCATTTAAATAGCAACTGGGGGAGGGAAGATGGCGTGGCATGGAGGATGGCGTGGAATGAAGGCTGGAGGAGACCCAAGGTTCAGAACTGAGAGCATTGTAAGGGAAACGTGGTGGTTCTTGGAGACACTAAGAATGGCACTGTGAGGCAGGAGAATGGGAGAGGCTCCAATTCCTCTGCCACTATGCAGGTTCCTTAATAACAGCACGTCAGTTTCTCCTGGGCCTGTCATCGTGAATCTAAAATGTTGTCATTCTCAGCTTACC